CCTTGGAGAAGCTGTTTGCAATTCCAAGAAATAGTTTTTGTTGTTATTTCTGTTTTATTAAATTAATATTGCATCATCAGGAAAGTCATGATGTGTTTTTCCATGCAAAAACACATCATGACTTTTCTAACAACCCAATATTACTTCAACTAAAACTTGAAAACGGAGACCATGGAATCTTTTTACTGTTTTATTGTAGTCTGGAGTTTTCCAGTTGCAGAAGTCTATTCAGAGGGGAACATTGCTTAGACGCTTCTAAATTGCTTGCATTCCTCAAAATTGACCTTTTAGTCTTTTTTCTTTTTTAAAGAATTATTTTATTTGACATTATTTATTTATTCATTCATTCATTCATTTATACCAGAAAGGGGGAGGGAAGAGAGAGAGAGAGAGAGAGAGAGAAAGTGAGAAAGCAAGCTTCCAGGTCTGGGACTCAAACTGCATCTGGCCATGTGGGAGTCCAGTGCCCCCAACCACCATGCCACCTGCCGGCCCTGACTTTTCAGACTTTGAATGTGATCTTGATAGTCACAAAGCCTTTTTCTCATATGATTTGAAGCATTCGAATTGGAACATTATATCAATTTCCTCTGCTATAACTCAGTAGTTTCGTGGAAAATTTCTGGCTTTGGAAAGGTAGTTCCTCTCTTAGTACTCCTGAGAATATTTGACATAGAGTACAGCAACACTCTGACCACAGAATTTTATTCCAATATATTTTAGTAATGAAGACATTTTAATCAGTGTTTGATAAACAAAGATCATAAACCTCTCAGATTTTCCATCAAGTCCTTGGGTTTATTGATCTACCACTATTGGATTAAGATTCCTGCGTGTAAGGAGACTGTTTTCTTTCAGGCTTCCAGGAGGGAGCACAGCTGAATGTTCATCCCCAGAGTGGTCCTACCTCTGCTCTTTTCAAATCCATTGGCAGCACCGTATTTATCATCTGCCTTAGCTACCTGTGGACCCAATTTCTTAAATTGTTCTCTAAATTTCATGAGGGAAAGGGGGTGTTAATTTCTTTTCTTACTCTATCCTCTCTTCTACTCTTTAGGTTTTTTATTGATGCTCTTAGTCTGGGCTGCTGCTCCTCAGCACCTCTTGCCTTCCAGCTCGGCACCTTCCTCCAGCTCACTGTCACCCCACCCCTTGGGTAAATTCTAACAGTGTTGCTCTGAACAATTTTACAGGTGAAATTCAGGCCGCTGAGGTGAATTTTAGGGCTGTGACTGGCTTGGCCTTGCCTGTGGTAGGGAAGCAGGATTCCTGTAATAATATCAGAACCTCCACAGTGGAAGTGAGGTCACTGCTGCTTTAATTCCCTCAAATGTCTGCTGTATCTCAGATGATCATTGGGAGTGATTCATCTTCATACACTTTTACAGCTAGAAGAAAGCTCCAGACATGCTAGTCTGTGGTTAAAGCCCCTCTGTGGCTTCCTTGTCAACTGACCTTCCAACCTCTACTTGAACATTTCTAGTGATTGAGACAATTTCTTTTTCTTTTCTTTTCTTTTTTTTAAAAGAATATATTTGAAAGCTGTAAATATTAGGAAACCTGTAATATTAGGTTGAAATACATGTACACTCTCCCTTCAGATCACAAAGTCTAATCCTTTATGCCTAATCCTCTTCTGGTCTATGAAGGGAGCCCTCTTGTTCCCTTTGAGGTACCTCTGTCCATATGCTCCCCTCCTTTCTGCGATGACTTTCCCTGTCTGCCTGCCTGTTTTCCTCCCTCAGTGATTTGTGATTCTGCTTTTCCCACAAAATCATCACTCAGAAAGTTTCAGAGTGCCTCTTATGCACAAGGAAGCGTTCGTGCTGGTAGAGACCCTACTGGTTTCTGGTTACTCATAATGTACAAGAAGAAAAGACACTGATAAGCAGAAGTGGGTGGGGAGGTTCCTGGTTTTATCCAGACTTTTTGAGCCAAAGTTTATTGGTGACGTTTCTGTTTTTACCTAAAGCAGTCAGTATTGTAACTGGACTGGCTGCAGGTCTGGCTGGATGACCAAACCCAAGTTTGGCTGCTCTCTGCTCAAAAGCCAGTACTCAAGAGAAACGTGTTGGTAGAAAGAAGAGGTAACTTTGTTCAGGAAAACTGGTGACTTGGGAAGATGATGAGCTAATGTTCCAAGACAAACTCAGAAGTCTCAGACTGGAGAAAGGGATTTTAAAGGAAAGATAAGAGAAGTAGGAATGGGGATAGGGCTGCTTGCTGCTCTGCACAGCAGTCAGTCATCTTCTTGGCCACACAGACTTGGCACCAGAATTTCTATTCACAATTATGGTCATTGTGCCCCCAAGGCCAGCGTATACTTTGTTTTCTTAGACATATCTGCTCTCTGGCTATGGTTTCAAGGCCCAGTTACTGTGAAAACTTAGCAAAGCTATGATTGTTTTTATGTTTTTCTTTCTTTCTTTCTTTTTAATTTAATTTTTTAAAATATATTTTTGCTATAGGGCACGTGGACTTGCCAGAGAAACAGAGACAGAGGGAATGGCCACACCATAATCCCTTCTCCTCCACTCTCCTCTCTGGATTTTGGGCACTTGTGCACATGTGCCTGGCAAGCGTTTAAGCCACCAGGTCTGAGAATTGAACCGTGGTCAACTACATGGGAGTCCAGTGACGTAACCACTATGCCATCTGCTGGTTCTGGTTTTCTTAACAAGTTAAATAGTTAAACAAGGCCAGTTAGAAAATGGGAAGCAAACCATCTTTAAGGGCTAGTCAGTTATGTCTTATTTAACATGGACTTTGGTTCTTTTTACAGCCTGGTGACAGTGTGGGGGAGGAGAGAGTCACAGTTAAGACTGTTCCTTCATCTTGCAGCTTAATCAGTGAGGAACATTATGTGAATTAAAATAGAAAAAAAATGAACAACTAATAGCACTTATCAGATAGTACATGTTTTTAAAAATCTCTGAAACAGTATAAATTTTAAGTGCGCTATAAATCCTTTCATAAGAGAATACAGATTCATTTCTCTAACCATGCCCTTGATGAAAATAGTAAACAAGTACTGACCTTCTTTAAAACATAAAAGTATGATCTAGAAAATTCATTTAGTCCCTCTTTACTATAAACAGTTTATGAAAGCATGTAGTTGAAAAGTGAATATTCAGTTATTCTTCTTGGTCTGCATAATGTCAGACAATCCATAATTTTTTTTTTCTCTTCACTTGAATAGAACACATTTTTGACTAAATTAACTGACTGTTTAGGTTCCTTGTAGACATAGTCTTAGGACAGAAAACTAAAAAATTGCTTTTTGGGAAGAAAATTGTAGCTAGTTATATCTCATAAAACCATTCTTGTGTTCATTTTCCTGAGGAAATTGCTATAAGTGTATCTTCTAGGGCCAATATGTAAGAGACCTTTTTATGATTAAATAAAAGCTCGGAGATTTTCAGTGTCAGAGTTGTTCCATTGACTTACCTTAGTTCTGAAACTAAAATGAAAACCTTTAGCCAAAGGAAAACTCATGCATTAATTAAATACTGACATGATTTGAACTTCTTTTATTTGCATACATTATAACTAGTACCTGTGTATGTCCAGTCTTTGGGGACACAAAGAAACACTATTTTGTTTGAAGCTTTTTTGGTTTTTAATGCCCTTTTTAAAATCTACAGTCCTGTATAAACATAGTTCCATGTTTCTGTAGGAGAGCTATTAATCTTTGTGTTTACATAAAGATAAGTTTGCAATACTTGATTAATATTATGCCTCTAAAATATGAATGATGTCATTTGGCCTATTAAATACTAGATTTACTTTAGTAACAAATCTTAAAGATCAATTCATAAATGAGAAAGAAATAAATGTGAGTAAAATAAACATTTGTTCTATTTTGGGCTTTGTTTAAGCTGAAATAATTAGAATTCAGCCAGCCAAAAAGAAGTGAAATTTGGAATCTAATTCTTGTCAAATTTTGCATTGCAGCTATACAAACTATTGTTTTAGAATTGCTGGGATAGGAAAGAAGAACATTACTTTGGCAAATGTAGGGGTTGATAGATAGGCTAGAGAGCAGAAATGAGTTCCTTGTTGAGTAATAAGAACTCCTGTGCTTTCTGAGAATAGCTACCAAATACTTCTAAGACAACTGATAAATCATAAAAATGAAGTGAAAAGGTTCTCAGAAGTCTGTGACAGTGTCAGTGATATTATGATAATGATTTATTGAGAAATTGATGAAAACTTAACAGAAATGCTTTCTGAACAAAGCCAAGAACAGAAGAACTGTTTTTAGATTCCCTAAAATCCATCTGAAAATGAGGAATTTAATATTTAAATACACTATTGAAAATTTGAGAATATTTTATAAAACTTGAAGAGTTTGGTAAGCATGCTTTTAAGAGTAATTTATAATGAAAAAACTGTGGTTTAAATAAACCTTTACATTATGAACACTTCTTATAGTTTCTTATAAAAAGTACCGTAAAATCAGTATTCTCGATATATGCATAAAATGATGCTTTACATATCTAACATGGGACTTATCTACACCTACAGAGAGAAAGCACTATTTTTCTTAAACAGAAAGGTTGTTATTGCAGACCCACTCTACTACTCTGAGTCATTGATAGTTATGGGCTTTATACTTAGCCTGAAATAGAAAACACTTTCTTCTAGGCCTGAACTTAAATCATTTTGCCAAGTATATACAAGTAGATTCTGAGTTTTCTATGTTTTGCTACAGGTTGAGTAACTCTTTTCCAAAGTGCTTGGGATGAGTAGTGTTTCAGATTTCAGATTTTTTTAATTTTGTAATATTTGAATATACATAATGAGAGGTATCTTGGGGATGAGATCCAAGTCTAAACACAAAATCCATTTCAGCAGCTAGGGGGTCCAATTTTGTTATATACGTTATTTTTTCATGTGCGTGCTGGATGCTTTTGGTGCTGGTTGCTAGTTTTTCTCTGATTTCTAGTAGAGTAGCAGAATAAAAACTTTCTGAAGGGTTATTTCTTTTCTTTCTGTAGCTCTCATGTACGAATGTAAGTCTGGTGCATCATTAACCTAAGGACCTCACCAACTGGACGTTACAGTTTGTATCATCAACCTGCCTTATCCTCTTTGGTCTGGTTCTCTTCGAGAAGTGGCAACATCTTTCCTTCAAGCTGCGTTTGTTGCAGAGTTAAGTAAATGGCTGATAGTGGCTTGAGTAAAACATCCACAGAATGCCCCAAGTGTTCATCTACTCTTCAGAATGAAGAGCATTCTGCGTGTTCCTGTAAAACAAATGCTTCTTCAATTTTGGTGGTGGAAATGTCACAGACATCGAGCATTGCGAGTACAGAACTTTTACCAGAGAGAAAAAAAGAAAAAAATACCAACAGAGACATTACCTCTGGGAAGGAGTTGGTAAATATCAGATTTTACATCTCAACCCACGTTGACATCACTTTCCCTGATCTCATCCCCAGTGCCATCCATATCCCACAACCACTTGTCAGATAACGCGTTGCCTTCGTGACTATTAAAGAAACACTTCTCTTTCACAGAAGTAGTGAGCAAAGCTGATTAGTAACTTGTTTTATATTGCTAGCCAGTGCCCAAACTGATTATTCCTCAGAATCCTGACCAATTAGGAATGCTTTTCCAGCTTATTTTTAATAAAAATGGTATATGCAGAAACAGATTGGCTTTCCATTTGAATTGAACCTGAAGTTTGAGCTTTATTTTTTTTTTTCAGATGATGAAGAATGAGATTTATGTCCTGGCAAGGGCGATTATGGCTTATTATTTAAAACAATTACTGGGTTTCCAGATGGGCTATTAAGTATGCTGTACAAAATGTATTTGCATTAGTTAAAAATAACCCGTGACTACCCAAGTGACCTGATTTGGTTGCATTTATCTTCATAGATAAATGGGGGAAGACAGTAGTCGGTAACAGCGTGACTTTGGGTGTATAAAGAGCAGTAAGTTGAAAAGTCAGGTTCCCCTCAAAGTTGTACCTTTTCTTACTTGCATCCTCAACTATTATCTCTGATTTGTATTACAGTATAGTTACTGACATAAAGGTGTTGCTATCTCTAAGTGAGTTGTTACTATTTTCATTCAAAGCCTATTTTGTGAGTATCTGGCCAATAATTTATGTGTCATCTATTTGAGACAGTTGTTACATTTTTAAACAAGGTAAGAAAGCTGCAAAGTTGCCTGACCAGAGTCTGAGGAAGGGCATTTAGAAGAAAAATACAGAGGCAAAGCATTAATGGGACAAAGAAATGGGGTATTATCTGTTGAAGATAACTTTATAGTATTATCAACTGGACTGGGGAGAAATGTACACATGTTGAAATACTCACTTTGCAAGCTAAATAACATGATCGAATGTATAAAAGAACTTGAAATAAAAAAAATTAATTTTAAAAAAAGAATCAGTGGGGGAGACCAGCAGATGGCATAATGGTTACGTCACTGGACTCCCACCTAGTTGACCAGGGTTTGGGTCCTGGACCTGGTGACTTAAAACTCTTGCTGGGCATGTGTGTGCGGGTGCCCAAAATCCTGAGAGGAGAAGGGAGGAGAAGGGATTGCAGCGTTGCCATCCTCCCTAGGGGTTGATTGCCCACTTTCTGTCTCTCTGTCTCTCTAGTGAGCGCATGCATCCTATAGCAAAATTTTCTCTTAAAAAAAAGAAAAAGAAAAGAATCACTGGGGAAGTTTTGCTGTATCTGTCTATTGGTTCTCATGTAGAGGAGCCTGGATTCTGGATTCAGGAAATGGAATTGTATGCCTTCTTAAGGTCTCCTTTAGCCTAAGTTAAATGAGCCACTGAGTCAAATAGGGCTTAGAATTTGACAAAGACAATAAACTATCTTGTGCACAGTCAATGTCATGGCACACATTAAAGAATTATCAGATTGCCTTAATTTGAGTTCTCTGTCAACAGTAGTATTATGTCTTAAAATTATTTTTTGAATTCCTTCTTTTTCCCCAAGCCCTTAAGAACCGCAAATATAGAGAGAAAATCATCTCAACAGCAATGGAGTCGGGGCAACTTTACAGAAGGAAAAGTTCCTCACATCCGGATGGACAATGGAGCTGCTATTGAGGTATGTAGAAATGAACTAAAGCTGCTAAAGACTTTACACTCTCGTCCAAGTCAGTGGCTAATGAAAAACATTACTTTTAACTAATTGTTTTCTGTTCAGGGAGGACCAGTTGGACTTGCATGCAAGTGGACAGCATTTTTGTTAGACAAAATGAGGACATTTTGTTCTGTGGGTCTCAGGTGTTGCTGAACTCAATAGTTGAACATGGGTAGACTCCTCCAAGATGTAGAGAAAGGGACCAGATGATTTTAGGTGGCTTGACTGTTACTTCCTTGGCCTCTGGTAGTGAAGCTACAACCTCCCTGGTGAACCACCTTCATGTGTTCCAGCCTATGATTGCATAAATATCAATATTATTCTTCCAAAGATTTGAATTATTATATAAAAATGAATTAAATATTAGAACAATTTTAAAGATTAAAATGTGTTTCTGAAACATCGGATTAAAGGAACTGCAACTAGACAACTATAACATGAATGAAATTATATTTATGTTAAGTAACTTCTGAACATTGTTTTGAGATATTTAGAAATTTATTTGAAGTGATCAGAAAGATTCCAGAGGAATTTTGACTTGAAAGTTTAAATCTCTCTCCTTTAAATAAAAAGCCTATACTTAAAAAAAACTCCACAAAATTACTAAGCTTAAATTTAGCCATAAGAGCCTTTATAAAAGCAAAATGTGCTCACTTGAAAAATATAAATTGAAAACTAAAGAAAATAAAGTCATCAACCAACAGGTGGAATGGTGGTTAAAGTGCTGAACTCCCACATGGCCAATCGCAGTTGAAGTCCTAGATGCAGTAGCTTGAAAATCATGCTAGGCATGTGTGCATCCATGCCCAAAATCCCAAGAGGAGAATGGAGAAGGGATTGTTGCATGACCATCTGCCCTAGGGGGTGATTTCTTACTTTCCCTCTCTCTATATTTCTCTCTCCTGCCCAGCAAGCACACATGACCCATGACAAAAGACTTAATGAAAAAAAAAAAAGAAAACTAGCCAACCAAATATAACTGATTTGACATTGATTGCCTTTATTTTTCCCCCTATATACTAATTTTATCCTAGTACTAGTCATTACCAGCTTTAACTTAGATTTCTTTCTTTCTTTCTTTTTAAAAAATTTTTCCTGTTTTCGAACCAGCCTTGTAATGCAACACTCTGCATATGTGATATCAAAGCAGTTAATTAAAGGAAAAAAAAATATTTATAAAAAACCAGTTGGATATTTTGGGACCAGCAGATGGCGTAATGATCATGTTGCTGGACTCCCACGTAGTCAACCATGGTTCGAGTCCCCGACCTGGCAACTTAAAGCTCATACCAGGTGCATGTGCATGCATCCCCAAGATCCTGGAAGGATAATGGAGGAAAAGGGATTGCATTATGGCCATCCCCCCTGGGAAGAGATTGCTCGTTTTCTGTCCCCCTGTCTCTCTCTCTCTCCGGTGAGTGCGCATGCCCTATAGCAAAAATATCTTTTTTTAAAAAAAAGGTTGAGGGGAACCAGCAGTTAGCGTAATGGCTATATTGCAGGACTCCCAAGTCAACTGCAGTTCGCATCCTGGACCCGGTGGCTTAAAGCTCACGCTGGGTGCGTGTGCATGCGTGCCCAAGATCCTCAGAGGAGAATGGAGGAGAAGGGATTGCTGCGTGACCATACCCCCTGGGGGGTGATTTCTCGCTTTCTGTCTCTCTGTCTGTCTGGCGAGCGCACGCGCCCTATAGCGAAAAACGTCTAAAAAAAAAAAAAAGGTTGGGTATTTCTCTCTCTCTTTTTGTTTTTTGTTTTGTTTGTTTGTTTTTGCCATTGAACACTTGCAGTCTTGGTAAAGAGACAGAGAAAGGGAGAGCGAGAAATCACCCTTGACGGGGGATGGCCATGGTACAGTCTCTTCTCCTCCATTCTCTTCTTGGGATTTTGGGTACACATGCATGTGTGTTGGTGTGATTTTTCTTACATTTGTTTATTTATGTATTTTATTTGTCATGGTTCTCTTTTTAAAATATTTCCCATTTTTTATTTTTAAAAATTATTATTATTATTTATATATTTGATCGTTATACATCATTTAGATTGTAAAGAGACTTTACTCAGCATGATATATACTCAGTCCAGCCCAGTTGAGAAAGCTATACATGTCATTATCAACAGATAATAAATCATATCTGTGTCCCACAAATGTCTTACCTCTATTTTTTTCCCCAAGTTTCCTTTCCTATGCTCTCCCCCTCCCATGCTTTCCTTCCACTTTCTCCCTAGAGTTCATAACAGTTTTCAATGCTTTTATGTCCTCCAGTCTTGCAGTTTCTACCATAGAGTACGGGCAGCCGGTATGTAGTAAGTGAAGACATACAATGTCTCTCTTTCATAGCCCGACTTGCTTTACTCAGCAAAAAATCTTCCATATTCGTCTACTTTCTATCACATTCCAGGGCTTTGTTGTTTTTTATGGCTGAATAGTATTCCATGGAGTATGTGTGTCATGCTTTTTCAATCCATTCATCTGTTTGTGGACATTTAGGCTGATTCCATGTCTTAGCAATTGTGACTAATGCCTTAATAATATAGTTGTGCAAGCGCTTTTCTGAGTGAGTATTCTCCAGTCCTTTGGGTAGATACTCAGGAGTGGAATTGCTGGATCATATGGTAGGTTTATTTGAAGGTCTTTGAGGAACCTCCATATTGTTCTCCACAGTGGCTGGACCGATTTACATTCCCACCAACAGTGTAGGAGTATTCCCCTTTCACCACATCCCCTCCAGCACTTACCATTTTTTTGTCATGGTTTTCAAGCTGCCTGGTCTGGGACTTGAACCATGGTTGGTCATATGGGAATCCAGAGCCTCAATCACTATGCCATCTGCTGCCCCCACTTTCAAGCTGCTGAGTCAGGGCCTTGAAAAGTTGTTGGCCATGTGGGAGTTCATTGCCTTAACCACCATGCCACCTGCCGGCCCCAGTATCTTCTCATTTTAAAAATTCTGCTTAAACAGTATTGAAATACTTTGCCCAAATTGTGGTTTTATTTATTTAGAGATAAAATGGAAGTTTAATTTTAATTAACTAATTTATTTTAAAGAATTATTTTAACTTTATTTATTTTGTTTATTTATTTATTTTTAATTTGACCAGAGAGGGACAGAGTGAGAGAGAAAGTGAGAAAGCAAGCCACCAGTCCAGAACTTGAACCATGGTCAGCCATGTTAGAGTCTGGCACCCTTAACCACTACACCACCTGCTGGCCCCAGAAGTTTAATTTTTAGATGGCAGGAGAAATTGGGGTAGTGTGATCATTTCAGTTGAGATTTAACTCATTTTACATAATTTGTAGTTGGGAATTATATATTAATCAGAATAAGATTATATTTTGTCTTATTTCCTAATTAGCTATCTAAGTTTATTTATTTTTTTTTACTTTTATTCTCATTATGAAGTACTGTCAGGAAAAAAGGAAGAACTGGTTATTTTAAGGAGTGCAAAAGCTCATTAAGGAGCTTTTAGACTATTATGGAAGGAAAAATAAGCCAAGTGTTTGAGCAAGAGAGTAAAAGTAGTGTTTGAGGACCAGTACACACATGCTGAGGGGAATGAAAATGCAGGAGCAGTCACTGTGGTACAGAGTTACCAGAGAAGGCCTTCGTGAAAGAGGTGAGAGTAATTAGTTGAGCATTGAATCTCTTCTTACAAAAGTCAGAAAAGAGGGCCCGGGTGGTGGCACAGTGGTAGCTCAGCTGAATTCATAGGAAAGGGTCCCAGGATTTTATCCCGGGGACACTCTGTACACACTGGGCACATAGGCCCATGACCCTGATCCAGGCTGGCTGAAACCTGGGGGTGGTCTGTGGCATGAGGACCCTGTTGGGGGTGTCTGTGTATCGTAGAAGCAATAATAAATACACTTTAAGAAAAAAAAAGTAAGAAAGGAATGTAAGCAATAGAAAATGAAAAGACGAGCAGCTCATCTACTTGTTGCATGGCGAAGGTGAAAGGTCACACGCGAGAGAAGATTGTTCTCTCTAGGGGAGGCTTTGGCTGCCTGACAGACAGGGCCTTTACACAGTGGCACTAGCTCAGCTCTTCTGCCTTGTGCTGATCCCTAAAGACTCTTTCTAATGTCCTAGAGTTGATTTGAATCAAGGATGCTGACTTCCTGCAACCAAATGGATAAGAAATGACAGTGTAAATGAATTAGCTGTTTATTATTTTACAACATGAACTAGAATGATGGTATTGGCAAAATAGTACCTTCTCTCTTTGTAAGCAGAAGTTAAATGACAAGTAGAAGGATTCTTGGTTTTGATGGTGCTATTATGGATGATGTTTATTTTCATCTCGGTGCTGATTTGTATCACATATTTTTCTAAAACAAAAGCAATATAATAACAAAGGCTGGTCCTGTGGTGCTGCCAGTTCTGGGATTTGAGCCACTCAGTTGGCCATTTGTGATCCAGCTCACATAACCACTAGGCCACAGGCTATCACAAAGACTGATTTTTAATAGAAGTAGTGAAGATAAAGAAGAAATATTTGCTACACAAGGAAAGAGTTCTTCAATGGTAATGTTTTGATTTTGTAGTGTTAAGGAAGCTGGATCCCAAATGGACAGTTATGATTTAAACTTTGGCCCTGCTGGCTTGAAAAATGTGCTGGACATAGGTGTGTGTATGCCCAAAATCCTAATGGAAAGGAAGGGGAGGAGGATAAAGGATTGTAGTGAGACCATACCACACTAGTGATTGCTTTCTCTCTCCACCGCCTCACTGGCAATTAAAAAGAAATGCATGTGTGGTTTTTGTTTTTAATTTGCCAAAGGGCATGTGTACTTGCTGGAGAGAGAGGAGGAGGGAAGAAAAGGGAGGATGTGCTTTCTCCCCATGATGAATAGTCATGTCTCGGTCTCTTCTCTGTTTTTTCCTGCATTCACAGTTTGGGGCATGGACTCACACATGCCAGGTGTTTTTTTCAAGCTGCCAGGTCTGGGATTTGAACCACACAGTCATTTGGGAACCAGCTCACATAACCACTAGGCCACACACAGACTGGTTTTTAATACAAGTAGTGAAGATAAAGAAGAAATATTTGCTAAACAACAAAACAGTCCTCCGGTGGTAATATTTTGATTTTGTAGTGTAATTCCTGGAGTTTGAGGATCATTTTTTTTGACAACTGTATAGATACACAAACACATGAGTGTATATATGAACATTCCATTTCTCCTTTTCTTATGAAAACATTTTATTAATATTATAGTTTGAAGGAGATTTATTTTTATACTTTGAGCTTTTCCATATCTTACAATTAAGATTTTATAGTTTTCCTCCAAAGGACGTTTATAAAATTAACCAAAACTTGTTTTTGGTTAATTAAAATGTGTGTATTAATACTGAAACAAATATATAGTATCTTCATTTGATTTAACCCTGGAGCATGTGAGCCTCTTTTCCTTTGCATGGATATTAGTCAATATTAAATGTTTATTTTTAATACCTGATGAATAGCAGAGAGACATAGGAACTCTTATTTATTTATTTATTCATCTCCAGGAAATTTATACTTTTGGAAGAATCCTGGGACAAGGGAGCTTTGGAATGGTCATTGAAGCTACAGACAAGGAAACAGAAACTAAGTGGGCAATTAAAAAAGTGAACAAAGAAAAGGTAAGGCTTACTAGCAACCACACTCTGAGGGGAAGAACCAGGGCAGGACCAATGTGGGCAGTGCAGCTTTTCATGCTGTCTCAGCTGTCCCAGGTCCCAGGGCAGGGTCTGAGCTAAACCTTGGAAGACATGGGGAGTTTCTCCAGCCACCTGGGAAGGGATGTGGTTCTTGAATTCAAGTAGACAAATACTGACTGGAAGAAGCAAATGGAAAAATTAGCTTAACCAATACAACCAAATCTTACTAGAGTGAGTTGAAAGTATGGGCTGGTTCTCAGTTTGTGTAGGAGTAGGGCTATGGGTTAGCAATGTCTTAGAAGTAAGTCATCTGTCCTAATGTCATCCAGATCTCTCTCCTGTCTTCTGTTTTCATGTTTCCTCATTCTGAACTAACTCTATTTATTCCTCCTATCTGCTCTTGACATTTGAGCTGCCTCCTCCCCCCACTATCCACTGTATTGTCTACTGGTACCCACTCTGTGTCTAAAAGGATTTCCTCCTGGAATGGAGAATGCGGGGGCTTCACTCTAAAGTAGGGTCTTAAACCTTAAGTCTCACACTTTAAACCTGATCATTTCATCAATCTTTTTTTTTGGCATGGTGGTTAAGATGGTGGACTCCCACATGGCTGACATGTTTTGAGTTCCAGCCCTTGCTTTCTCACTTTCCCTGTCTCTGTTTCTCTCTGGTCAAATTGAAGAATAATAATAGTAAATAAAATAAATAATTCCTTTAAAAATGATGACATATTTTTCCCCTCAAATTTGTGATGATAAATATTACATTTACAAAATGAAATACAAGTAGTAGGTTTTATGTAAATTTAACACACATGATAGCAAATGATACACTTTTTCTCTCCAAAGTTTAATAAGGTAACATATAAATCTTACACTGGGATTAAGAGCCTTTCTAGAAATCTTTAGAATTCTTTACAACTCTAGATAATATCCTAAGAATTACCTGGGATATTATTTACTTTGCTCCTTCGGTGTTAGGTAGAATTCGGAGTTTGATTTTAAGGTTATATAGACGGGATACTTGCTTGCAACTTGACGAATTAAAAATGTCTCATATACACACTGAAATCAAGAGTTTATGGGACACTAAGGTGGTAAAAGAAGATTATATAGTCAGAATATGAATTGGGCAATGTATTTTTGTATTATGTACAGGTCAAACCATTTGGGGAGGGGACTAGGAACAGAATTGAGGTGGATATTAGGAGAAATTGTGGTAACTTTCTCAGATCTAATTTAGACAAGAATTCACTCCTCAGAGTCACTATTTCTTTTGACTGTCAAGGTTAACCTTACAATGTGAATTTTATCCTCCATGAGTGGGACACAGTAAGGGGGCAGTATCCTGCTCATTTTACCATCTCATCGCTGAGATGGTAATGGTTGAAGAGTGAAGATAATTGGAAACAGGAATTAACCTAGGTACATTTTTTTATTTTTTAGAGTTATTTAATATTATTTATTCATTCATTTATTTTAATTTGGCCAGAGAGAGACACAGAGAGAGAAAGAGAAAAAGGGAAAGTGAGAAAGCAAGCCACCAGGTCCGGGACTTGAGCTGTAGTTGATTGTGTGGGACTGTCTAGTGCCTTAACTACCATGCCACCTGCTGGTTCCCAACCTAGTTAAAATTTTAACTAGATAAAGTATTTCATATAGTCAGTTTACTTCTACTCTTTTTAAATTTTTTTTTAAAGTTTTGACATACAGCATGTGTTCTTACCACAGAGAAACAGAGAGAGAAGGGGAAAGTGAGAAATCATCCCTCAGGAGAGACGACCATGCCACATTCCCTTCTTCTCCAGTCTTAGAATTTTGGGTGCGTACACACGTGGCATGTTTATCAGACCACCGAGTCTGGAACTCAAACTGCTCAGTTGGCATGTGGGATCCAGCTACCTTAATCTCTGTGCCAGTTGGCTCTATTTTCACTCTTAAATACTCTCTCAAATTTAGGGTTAGTTATCCCTTTCAGGGATATTTTTATATAAAAATAAGACCCATACGTGAGAAGTGTTTATCTTCAGATAATGTCAATTTTGGTATCAGTGATTTGTGGTGGGGTACGGGTAGAGAAACCCCTTCTAGAATTTCTCAGATAGCATTGTAGACAATCAACACCTGTACCCCGAATGAACTCCTGGTGCTCCCTGGAGTGTTCCTGCCTTTATCTTTTGCTTAAAGATAAGGATTTGACCTTAGGAGATAAATTGGGTTAGGTTGGTCTGGAGGCGTCATCTCTCTCTGTCTCTGTCTCTGTCCCTGTCTCTCTCCTGATTAACCAACGGGACCAGGAAACAACATAACAAATGTGGTAGGTTCTTGTTGTCTATTGCTTCATTTGATATATGAGTGTATGTGGGAAAAAATATATATATGGGTAATCAAACAAGCCAACAAAAGGTTCATTTTCATCTTTTCTAACTGATGTCCTTGGAAGCTGATTTGGTTTCATTATGCTGACATCAAAGGATCAACATGACTATTTTGAAGGATATATCACAAAACATATTAAAAATTTTATGAGGCAATAGAGACTATATTATAGCTAATTTATAGAAATAGTCCAAGAAACAGATGTGGTTCGAAGCCAGATTATATATAACTTAAAAAGGACAAAGAAAAGAAGGGGCATAATTTAGTCTGATCATGGGAATAAATTGCATGATGTCATTGGAAAAAAAGAACTTCTTGAAAATGCAGGAAAATATAAAATAGCTAATTTTATATCAGGGAAATGCCAAAGTGACACTCTTATGTGAAAACTGTGCTTTTCATTGATTAAGGCTGGAAGCTCGGCTGTGAAGTTACTTGAACGGGAGGTGAATATCCTAAAAAGTGTAAAACATGAACACATCATACATCTGGAACAAGTGTTTGAGACGCCTAAGGTAAAGCTCCATCAGGTGCTGCACTTTCAGAGTTGTTATTACTGCAAAATGAATATCATTCCATTCTGAAGTAATCCCTTTGGGGCACAGTTGCTCATGTCCTTGGCATGAGTGTGTCAGTGGAGATTGATGAGAACATTCTGGAGGACTTTTATTATTGATTGTATAATTAGGTGTCTGATGATTAGATTGATGTCTTCAGTAATATGTTCTGGGTGGCATGTTGAAAACAAATGTTTAAAATTAAATCAACTTCATACACAACCAAACAGTGATTAGAGTTTCCAGAGAGGTGGCTTTCCTTTTGCTTTGGGCCTTAGTTTTTCCATTAGTCTCTTGGAATGTTGTCGTAATTTTGCAAAGTTAGCTTCATAATGAAACTGGCTTAGGTAGAGTTAGCACTGTGTAGAAGATATATTTTGTTGTCTGTCTCTTACCAATGTGCTTTACCTTTTTTTTTATTCCTTCTAGGTGTTGTTATTCTTTTCTTTAAATGCCTGTAATTTTATTTAGAGTTGTTTAGAAGCCTGGATTATTTGCCATTCTGCCTCCAGATTGTTTTGTGCTATGGGCTTGGCTCTTTTTCTGCTTGGAGGCAGTATCAGGTAGTGGTTAGGCATAAGGATTCTGGAGTCCAGTTGCCTGTACATCCTGGCTCCCACCCCTTACTAACTATGGTGCCGTGGGCAAGTTACTCAACTTCTCCATACCTCGGGTTTCTCATCTGTAAATTGGATTTAATGATGGCATTTACCTCCTTTGATTGTTGAAGGATTAAATGGGACAATGGATATAAAGCATCTGTCTTATTAAATATTAACTATTTCTAATTTCCTTTGTCATTCTCTTATGTAGTAATAGTCAATAGCACTTGGTAACAAGAAAGACCCATAATGGGCCCAGCTGTGGTGGTGCGTACTGCTTAGACTCTGCTACTGTGTGGGCTGGGACCACATGGGGGCCTAGGCGCTATGCCCTGTTCAACTTAAAGGGTGTTGCAGTGATGCACATCTGTGATTCTGGTGGTTCAGGAGTCTGAGGCAGGAGGATCGTGACCTTAGACTGGCCTGGGCAGCGTGGCGAGACCCAGTCTGAAAAAGAGCCAGGCGTAGTAGCACATGCTTGTCATCCCAGCCGGAAGACTGAGGCAGGAGAATGATGACACAGAGTAAACAAAAAAGATCAAAGCAAAAGCACAACCAGTCATGCTTTATGGGAGCAGTATACAGCATATATAATGGTCCCTAACATCTTATCTGTAGATCTGTAGTTTTCCATCTTAGAATTGATTTTAGTCCCCAAATCTTCTTAGAATAGTTTTGTTCTTTATGATCAGTTGTGAATAGTGTGATTATGAAGTGCCTTAGTATAGTTTTCTATATGTTTCTTGTGCTTGGGGTTCATGGAGCTTCCTGGATGTGTGAATTTCTAGTTTTTAACAAATTTTGGAAAATGTTGGCCATTATATCCTCAAATATTTTTTTCTGCATCCCTTTGCTGCTCTTTGGGACTCCAAGTATACAGGTAAGATTGCTTAATATTGTCCATAGTTTATCGATGCTCTGTTAGTTTTTTCCAGTCTTTTTTTTTTTCTCTTCTTGTTTCATTTTGCAGTTTCTATTGCTGTCTTCAGATTCAGTAATCTCTTTATCTGTAGCATTTTATATGCTGTTGACAGTGAAAATTTGATTTTTATTTTTAAAAATATATTCCATAGGGCCAGCAGGAGATGCGGAGGTTAAAGTGCTGGATCTCACGTGGCTGGCTGTGTGGTTCTAGTCCCGGACCCAGCAGCTTGAGAATCACCCTAGGCACCTGTGTGTGCGTGCACCAATCCTAAAAGGAGACTGCATGAGAAGGGAATACTGTATGGCCATCCCTCTGGGGAGTGATTTCTCACTTTTTTTTCCTCTCTCTCTATATGGTGAACTCATGTGCCCTAGAGCAAAAACTATATATCCATATAGCTACTTATTATGCCAATCATTTCTCCTCCTTGAATGTAGTTATAATAACTGTTTTATTGTTCTTTTCTACTAATTTTATTATGTGGGTCATTTCTAGGTTAGTTTTGATTTTTTTTTTCATTCATTATGGGTTACATTTTCCTGTTTTTTGTTTGTTTGTTTGTTTGTTTTGTTAAGAGGTTTTAACTATAGGGCACCAGAAAGACAGAGAGAGAGATGTAGAGACAGAAAGCGAGAAATCACCCCTGAGGGGGCATGGCCACGCCGCAGTCCCTTCTCCTCCATTCTCCTCTTGGGATCATGGGCACGCACGCACACATGCCCGGTGTGAATTTAAGCCACCAGGTCCAGGACTTGAACTGCAGTCGACTACATGGGAATCCAGTGACCCAGCCATTATGCCAACTGCTGGTCCCTGTTTTCCTGCCTTTTTTATATGCCAGTTCCTGGGTTTCTTTTGTTTCTTTCCTTTTTTAAAATTTTGCCAGAAGGCATTTGAGCTTGCCGAAGAGAGAGAGAGAGAGAGGAAGAGAGCAGGAGAAAGTGAGAAAACACCCCCTCCCCTCCCCTCCATGGAGAATGGTCACACTGCAATCCCTTCTCTTTCATCTCTCCTTCCTTTTGGGTACACACACACACACACACACACAATGTTTCTCAAGTCACTGAATCTGGAACTCAAACTGTCAGTTGACCATTTGCGATCCACCTGCCTTTATCACCACTCCATGAGCTGACCTGCCAGTTCATTTTTGATTGGATGTCAGGCATTATGAGTTTTACTTTGTTGGAAGCTGGATATTTTTATAGTCTTATAACTATTCTTGAGCTTTATTCTAGGACGTAGTAAATAAAAAATAATGTGATACTTTTGAAGTTTGCTTTAAGCTTTGCTAGGTGGCAACAGAGCAATCTTTAGTGTAGGACTAACTTTTCCCTGTTACTTGTCAGTATCTATACAGTGCCCTACGATTTTCAAGGTTTTCCATTTTACCTAATAGGGGCATCCACTGTTCCTGGCCATGTGATTGTTTCCTCTGCTCTTTTTTTCTTTCCGCTGATTTGGTTAGTTTCCTAACACACATGGACTGAAGCTTTGAGCCCCCTCCAACTCTCTGAGGCTTTCCCTCTGTACAACATTCTCCTCTTTGATACTCTGCCCTGGGAACTTGAGATCCTTTGACCCTCCTGGACTCCCAGCCTTACCTCCTCAATTCAGGGAGGCGGATGGTCTCTCCTTGGGTTCCCTCCCTGCTCTGTGGTCTGGAGACTCTCCAGTGAGCGAGAGTACTCTTGAGGCTTGCCTCGTGTGTTTCTTCTCTGTCAGGGGTTCCTGTCCTATGCAGTCTGCTGAATACTGTCTGAAAATGGTTACTTTATATATTCCATTCAGATCTTAAGTTGTTTCAGCTGAGAGGGTCTGTCTGGGCTCTATTACTCTATCTGGCACAGGTAGGGTTCCACATCCAGAATAGTTTGAGACAAAGGAAACCATCATCTGTGATTATTTTCTCGTGTCTTGCCTCCCCTTGCTTCACATAGTCAGGTCTGTCCCCTCTGCCTCTAAACACAGTACCTAGACTTTCAGTTCAAGCCATCTTGCAGATTACTGGAAATTGCTACCAGGTTGGTCGTGTCATGGTGTTAGTACTGATTATCCAGTCTGACGGCTGTGATTCTTGTGAGTCTCCTTGTTCTCTGGGTGTACGTGATGGTACCTACTAATTACAGAAGAGCTTATAACTTTTGTTGATATAAGTTGGATCAACTTACATATTTAAAACTGATATTAATTTATATTATAACCATTAGTAATGCAACTTTTCCGTCTTATAGTTCACTCACATCTTACATGCCAGTGATACTTACAGTGCTGTCAATGGGAAAAAATATGGACCAGTTCAAAAGCTTATGTATGTGTTAGACTTTGCAGTTACTTTGAAATTCTGAAGCAGCCTAGTTCAGTGAATCTGAATTGTGACTACCAGAAGAAAGCGCGTTAGCCTTCTCTTTGTTTTCAGGCTTACTCGCTGAGCACAGAAACAGCATTAACAGTGGTTATAAGAACAGGCTCAGACCCCCAAATTGTAAAAAACAACAAAATTGTAGCAGTATAAGTTAGAATATTTATGAACAAGATTATTGTTGCATTTTAGTTGACTGAATCTTCTTGACTCAATAGATGCCTTGACTGTTGGAACACCTAAAGTGATCTTAATATGGCTCATCAGAGACAGCAAATGGAGAAGAGGCATTTCATCCATAACGTCTTACCGTTCACACCCAATTAGCCACTAAGTCCCACTGTTTCTTCCTCCTGGGGATTTTTCGCATCTTTTCCTTCTCTCTTTCTTGTCTGCATTCTGTGCCTCTTATCTACCCTCTGTGAGAAAGGGATCAGCGTACTCTAGCCCGAGAGCCAGATCTGGCCTCCTGCCTGTTTGTGTATGGCCCTAAGATTTTTACCTTTTTACTGTTGGAGAAAAATGTAAAAGAGTAATATTTTATGACATGTGAAAATGATCTGAAACCCAACTTTCAGAGTCCATAAGGGAAGTTTTGTTGTTTTGTCTATGGCTGCTTTCATGCTGCTGCAGTAGAGTTGAGTAGTTGTGAAAGGACCGTGTGGCCTGCAATGCCAGCATTTACTGTATTTAAATGGGATTTAGCCTTTATAAAATAGTTTGCTGGGCTCTGTTCTACATTACTGTTAGAGTGCTCATTTAGATATGCAAAATTGACAGTATCTAAACCTTTCTACCTGAAGCCCCAATACTAGTTTAAAAATCTTCAGTGGTTGGAACCAGCAGGTGGTGTGGTAGTTAAGCTGTTATATTCCCACATGGCTGACTGCGGTTTGAGTCCCAGACCTGGCAGCTTGCTTTCTCTCTTTCTCTGTTTCTCTGGTGAGCACAGCATACCTATAGCATACTAATAAAATAAATAAATAAATAAATAAATAAATAAATAAATAAAATTAAGTTAAATAAGAAAATCTTCAGTGACATTGCATTTGGGAAAAAAAAATCATACTCTTTAGCAAATCCTATACTCTGTAATCTGGTCTTGACCTCTTCTTCCTAGCCTCATCCCTCACTACGCCTCTTTTCCATCCCACTTTGCTCCCAATGCTAATACTGAGATATTCATTATATTTTAACATTTAGTACTGTTTCAAGCTTTGATGTCTTTAATAAACCATGCACTCTGCTTCTCCCACACATCCTCTACCTGTAGATATTATTCAGACATGCAGACCTGGCTTCAATGTCACTTCTCAAGGAGCATTCTGTAGACAGTGCTCCCACCTCTGAAACCGTCTGTATAATGCATTGTAATACTTCAAAACTCACATTTAAAAGTTATTCAGTGGCTGACCCCATGCTCTCATGGTTAAAGGGAGCCAGATCCCATGTGTCTCAGCATGTGGTTTGAATCCCAGCTCTAGCACCACATACCAGGCATGTGCTCGTGAGTGCCCAATATTGTAACTAAATGGAGAAATGGAGGAGGGATTGTGGTATGATCATGCCCCATTGGGGGTGCTCTCTCCCTCTCTCTCTCTCTGTCTCTCTCTTTCTCGCTGGCAAGTTCACATACCCTCTGACAGTAAAAAAATTACTTTAAAAAGGTTATTCTAACTGTTCTAATTGCTTTTATTCTTTTTTGATGTTACTATTGCTGCTTTCCCTCATGGTCCTCCCTTTTATTTTTAAAGTTAGTTTGCTTTACCTGTGACTTTAGAACCATCTTATTTTACAGATGAGAGGAAACATTTTTCCAGAGAGGTGCAGTGACATGGCATTTGGGATCCTTGCCACTTATCACTTGATACTGTAATTATAACTGTACTGTAAATTTCTTCAGGGTAAAGACTATGTGGTACACTTTTTTGTCTCTCTGGTGTCCAGGACAATATCTTTGTACTTAACAGACAATAAATCTTCTTGAATAAATTGATAATTAAGATTGCAATAATATATGCAGTATGTAACGTTTTAAAGACAGTTTGCTCTTTCTCTCTCTTTTAAACATATAATGTCAGAAAATGTACCTCGTGATGGAACTCTGTGAGGATGGAGAACTCAAAGGCATTCTGGATAGGAAAGGGCATTTCTCAGAGAATGAGACAAGGTGGATCATTCAGAGTCTTGCATCAGCTATAGCCTATCTTCACAGTAATGGTAAGGTCGTCGAACTTGTTGACTCCCTGCATACAGATATCACTTTGTTTAACAGTAATTTTATTTGAGATTCGTAGTCAGATAAATCACACCTACTAATATAGAAGACTTAATTTTTAATTAACTTGTTTTTTTCTTTTCAACTTTATTTGTAGCTCTTTTAAAATTAGAAAAAAGACAGGGGCGCAGTTGCAATAGCACAAGCAAGAAATGTGTTGCTTTGCAATGACGGAGGCCTCATGGAGACCTGGGTTCAGTTCCTGGCCCAGCCTAAACAGGCCAGGTGCAGTGGTGTCTGCTTGCCAACTGGAAGGCTGGGGCAGGAACATCGCAACATGCCAAGACTCTGCAAAAGGCCTCTCTCTCTCTTTTTTTCTCTCTCTCCTCCTGCATTCTTTCTTCCTGTTTCTCTCTCTCATTTACTAAAAGAAAAAGGAAAGAAAAGAAAAGAAGAGAAACAAGTCAGGTATTGTACAGTCATATTGTACATGGATAAGGAAGAAGTTATGAAAATTTCTGTTCAGCAGTTTGAAGCACAAGTAATGATACCAAATGTAGATGATGAAAAAGGTGAAATTTTCAAAAATGCTCATGTATTAATAGTAATATTTAAATATATAATTCTAGGCCTCTGTTTGTTCTTTGCCATTTTTTTAACTTTATTTTTAGAACAGTTTTCGGTTCACACCAAAACTACTAAATTCACGGAGACCGGTGGACCTCTGTAGAGATTTCTCATATACCCACATGTGCATAGTGGCCCCATTATCACCACTCTGCACTGGAGTATTTGTTACAGTCCATGAACCTACACTGATACATCGTGGTCACCCAAAGTCCTTAGTTCACATTAGGATTCAGTCTTGATAATGTACATTCTGTAGGTTTTGACAAATATATAATGACATTTATCCACCATTATAGTATCATACATCACAGCACTTGAAACCCACATTTAAAAAACTGTTTTAGGGGCGAGCAGGTAGAATGGTGATTGGAGTGCTGGACTTCCACGTGATCAACCATGGTTTGAATCCCAGACCTGGTGGCTTGCGTTCTCACTTTTCCTTTATCTCTCTCTCTCTCTCTCTAGTCAAATTAAAAAATAATAATAAGGGGCTGGCAGGTGACGTGGTGGTTGAGGGTACTGGACTCCCTCATGGCCGACTGTGGTTTGAGTCCTGAACGTGGTGACTTGCTTTCTCGCTTTCTCTCTCTCACTTGTTCTGTCCCACTCTGGTCAAATTAAAATAAATAAATAAATGTTAAATAAGATAATTCTTTTTTTTTTTTTTTTGAAAGGTTTTTGCTGTAGGGTGCATGCGCTCACTAGAAAGACAGAGAAACAGAGAGACAGAAAGGGAGAAATCACCACCCAGTCGGGGATGGCCACACCGTAATCCCTTCTTCTCCATTCTCCTCTCAGGATCTTGGGCATGCACGCACACATGCCTGGCATGAGTTTAAGCCATTGGGTCCGAGACTCAAACCGCAGTCGACTACATGGGAGTTCAGTGACATAGCCATTATGCTAACTGCTGGTCCCAATAAGATAATTCTTTAAAAAATAATAAATAAAATAATAATTTTTAAGAAGCTATTTTAACTATTTTAATTGCTTTATTCTTCTTTGATATTACTGTTGCTGCTTTTCCTCTTGTTCCTCATTTTCCATTAAGCTTAGTTTGGCTAATTGGTGACTTTAGAAACTTATCATATTACAGGGAACAAAAACTTTGTTCTGGAGAGGTGCAGTGACATGGTTAGGTTTGGCAGAATAGGTACTGGAACCATTCACAGTGGCTCATTCAGCAGGTATTCCCTGAGCACCTACTGCATTACGATTGGTCCTAGAGTTACAGAGATTACAAGACCAGGTCCCTGCTCCTCAACACTGTCAGACTGGTGGGAGGAGTATGGAAGACAAATTGTTATTCAACTCGATAATTTCTCTAATGGAGAGCTGTATAAAGTACAAGGAGTACAGGAATATAAGTGCCTCATTCATTTGGTTTGGAAAATTAGGAAAGGATTCACAGAGGAAGTAATGTTTGATTGAGGAATATAAACTCAGACAAAAATTAGAGGGCTTTCCAGAAAGAGAGAAACAATTTTTGCAAGTGTTTAGTATTATGCCAGTAGAAACCGTCCAAGATAAAGCCGTAATTTTAGTATAATTTCAAACAAAAATCTTAGCATAATTTTTCACAAAACTTGATACTATCATTCCAAAATGAGTGAGAATAACCAAAACAACCATGAGAAAGAAGAGCAATGGCGGCGGCAGGGAGACTCAGACTGCCAAGGATCAAAACATGTGATAAACATATATTAGTTAAAACTGTGTGGTATTTAAGTAAGAAGAGGGGAGTAAAGCAATAGAAGCATTAATAATAATAAAAAATATCTAAAAACACAGCCTGAGAATTGTGTCCAGGAACTGTAAGTGATTTGATATGATTGCCAGCCCAGAGCTCCTCCAACTACATTTTTCTAGGAATTATAATGTAACTTTTGAAGTCTAGGGAGACTATTGCTATGGATATGAAATGAATCAGCCATTTACAAAGGAAGTGTTTGATATGTGATTATTTACTTGTACCTAAAAATCTCAGCTGAGCTCTGACATGTCTCACTGGAGGTTTAGTGTCTCAAGGGTTTTTGCTTATTTTTTTATTTCAACATATGAAGAGTAGAAAAATATGCCTTGATGTTGTAGAAAGAAAAAAACACTGGAATAAATGTAGTTCGTATACATGTAGTCAAGTTACCATGTGTTAAAATGTTTATGCTGACAGTAACATATGTGTAAAAGTAAAGGTGTAATCCTTTGTTTGAAGACCTAAGGATATGGGACACCTTGCTGGGTTCATGGCTAAGATTGTCTCCCTCCTGGGAATACCTCACCTGGGGTGAGATTCTGCACATGCTCAACACGAGGAGCAGTGAGTTGGGGCAACAGGGGAATGGATAGAGATGGAGTCAAGGAAAAAGGCTCTTTAAGGTTAGAAGCGTAAGGAAAGGGGTTTGTAAATTGAAAAAAGGAATAGGACTGAATAACTCTTGGCCCTTTTCAAATTTCTTAGCAGTGGCAATTAACTGATTAAGTATCTTTATTTGTTCTATTTGTGTTTTCTCTATTTTTTCATAATTCATTTCTTTTGATCTATTGTCTATTTTCTTGGTAGATATAGTACATAGAGATCTAAAACTGGAAAACGTAATGGTCAAAAGCAGTTTCATTGATGCTAACAATGAAATGACCTTAAACATAAAGGTAAGATATTAAAAATGGTGGTAACGTTTTCCTACAAACAGTTTGATAGCAAAGTGGCAAAGTACATTCTCTTTTTAGATACATTTCAGTAGCTTTTGAACAGTCAGAAAATAAGTGGCTTGTGCTAAAAAATAAAAATTCACAAAAGATGTTGTAACTGACAAGAATAATTTTACCAGTTAAATGGTGCTATTGAATGTGTTTTTTAAAAGTACATATTTCTTTGGATAGTTCTAAATCATTAGTTAATAGCAAGCAAGCAGATGCTCTGAATTCTAATTAATTTCAAAATTATGCCAGTAATTTGATGTAAATGTGTTACAGATTTAGAGAAAAACACACCTTGGCTGTGCTTTTGATACTAAATTAATTCTAAAGTCTGTATTTTTCATTGAAAATTTTCCTGGGTATTAATATTTATGTCCTAAGCACAATTAATGTGCCAAGTGTTTATTCTTGAAGATTTTATTCAAATTAAGTGTTCCTTAATGTCAAATAAATGATAGGATACATTATTTATTACTTAGCACTTTAATAGTGGCTGCTTTCAAAATATATGAATGTGCTAATTTAGGAATAAAATATTGTCTGAGTAACTCTTTCTGTTACAGAAGCTAAATCCCTATGTAATATAAATAGGCTTAACAGCATTATTGCTTTACTGAAGTGAATGTTCTTGAATAGTTCCATTGTAACTCCATGAGGCAGGAATTGTGTATGTGTTATTCTCTGTTGATACCTGGAATAGTGCCTGAAACATAATATTTGCTCAATTAATATTTGGTAAATAAGGGAATAGATGCTCTCAAAAGAAGTATATTGAATTGTGAAATCTTTTGTGTATTTGATATCTATATAGATTTTCTGTAGAGAAAGATATGTGTCATAATGTTCCAAGCAGTATATTTATGGAGAAATGTTTCCTGGAGAAATGGATTCATCTATTTAGAAAGATAGTGGTATCACATGTTAATAAGTACATTTTATTATGCCACGAAGTACTGAGGACTCTGCGTTCTGAGTCTAGACCAAAAACCTATATTTAATTACTTGATCAATAAATGTACCTGTTTTTCTGCTTTTGGCCCAGTGGTGTTCCATCCTGGGAGACAAGACCAAGAACACATACTGAATATTTAATAACCAAATGTTTAATGGCTGAGATTTAGAATTGAGCAGAAAGACGGCAGGTGCAGCAGCGGGCCTCCAGGATATTTGTGGTTACACCGTGGTGGTTTCCTTTCTTATTAATTGGCTTCTTTTAATAGTGTAGTAATTATTTTAATTAATGTATTCTAGAAACACAAAGGAAATAATGGTAAAAGATAGTGTTTACCAATTATAAATAATTATGAAAGAGGGGATGTTTTAGTGAGTGCTGATAAGGACAGTGATTTGCATTTGTAACAGTGCTTTACACTGGAACATAACTTGAGTATCAGGAAAATAGATAATAAATATACTAAGGCCAGAAGGAATTGTACAATGAAAGAACTTAAAAATGTAATTACAATGTAAAAAAGTCGTATCTTCAGAATGGCTGAGCTCTGGACAGGAAAAATGGATGACTGTCCCTGAATTTCTTCTCCTAGGTGACTGATTTTGGCTTGGCAGTGAAGAAGCACGGAAGGAGTGAAGCCATGCTGCAGACCACTTGTGGGACTCCCATCTATATGGGTAAGGGAGCAAACTGAAAGTTATTAGCACAGTTCAAGTCCTGGAACCAGTGACTTGAAAAATCACGCCAAGTGCATGTACATATGTGCCCAAAATCCTCAGAGGAGAATGGAGAAGAAAGGATTGTGGTGTGGCCACCCAGCCCCCGGGGAGTGATTTTTCCCTTTCCCTCTCTCTGTCTCTCTCCTCTCTGGCAATCACATGTGCCCTATGGCAAAAACCTGAACAAAAGAGAACAATTAATAGGGATCACAACTCAAACAATTTACTTTTGCCATCATGACTTATTGGCCCTTGATCAAACAACTTTTTCCTCTTCTGAGGTTAAATAATTTCAGTTGTTTTTAGCATATTTCTCAGTACCTATCTTAAATATTTATGTTAATTTTCTCCCCATTTTGTCTGAGGGTGTGTGCACTCGTGAGAGAGAGGAAGAGGGGAAGGGGAAAAAGCACCCCCAATGTGGTGAAGCCTTGCTGCCATCCCTTTTGTCCTTTTCTCCATCCTATTGAGATTCGGGGCATGCATGTGCACACATCTGGCATATTTTTCAAGCCACTGGGGCTAGGATTTGAATCACGATCAGCCATGCTGGATCCAGTTCCCTTTAAACTGCTGCACTACAGAGTTGGTCCCATTTTTGTAATTTTATCATGTCTCTGGGCTCTTAAAGTTGTTTATATCTCTTAGATTATCATACCTTAAACTTCATTATTGTTTTAGCTCATTCTAAATTATGTGTGTTTTACTTCTTTGCATTTTTTTACTCAGTTTCATTGCCATTGAACAGTTTTTCATGGAGTACTGATTAAATATATTTAGTAAAGGACTGTTTTCCCATTTTTCTTTTTTTTTGAGAGATTTTTGCTATAGGGCACATGCACCTGCCAGAGAGACAGAAAGTCAGAAAATAAGAAATCACCCTCCAGGGGGATGGCCACACCACAGTCCTTTCTCCTCTAGTCTCCTCTTGGGATTTTGGGCATATATGCATACATACTCAGAGTGATTTTCAAGCCTCCAGGTCTGGGATTTGAACCACAGTTGACCATGTGGGAGTCTTGCAATGTAACCACCATGCCACCTGTTAGTCCCTTTTCCCATTTTTCTAAATGCAATTTGTCACAGCTTCATGAAAGATTAATCTAAATACCATAAAATGATGCATACAATTCAATTTTTTAGTACATTTTACAGAATTGTGTGACCGTCACCACAATCCAGTTTTCAAACAATTCTACTCTTACAGTTCCCTCATGCCCATTTATACTCAGTCTTATTTCTACCCTAGCCCCAAGTAGCCAGTGAAATCTCTAGATTTGCCCTTTCATTTGTTTAGAGTTGCCTTTTCTACTGGGGGCAGGGGAGGTAGATCTATTTAGATTTGCCTTCTCTGGACATTTCATATAAATGGAATAAAACAATATATAGCTTTTTATGTTTGACTGACTTTCACATAGAAAGTGTGTCTGTGTTATGTTCCTTTATATTGATGGAATCTATTGTATGATGTGCCACGTTTTGTTCGTTATTAACTGATGGACATGGTTTCCACTTTGAGGCTCTGAGGAATAATGAATGCCTATGAACTTTCATATGCAAGTCTTTGTATGAACGGGTTTAATGTTTCTTAGGTAGCTGCTTAAGAGTAGCATTACCAGGTCGTATGTTAAGTTGATGTTTAGCTTCTTAAGAAACTGTCAAGAAATTGCCTTCCTACTGGCAATGTGTGAAGGTTCTAGTTTCTGCACATCTTTGCCAGATGAGGATCTCAGCTTGTTTACACGTGCCAACTCTTGATATTACCTATCTTTATAATTATAGCTAGTATAGTGGATGTAAAGTGGTATCTCATTGGTGTTTAGTATGCATTTCCCTAATCACTAATAGTGTCAAACATTTTTCATATACTTATTAGTCATCAGTATATCTTTTCTAATGAAATGTTTATTGAAATCTGTACTTATTGAGATAATTATATATTTTCTCCTTAAATTTATTAATGAAATAATTGTATTATTAGATTTTAAAACTTTTTTTTAGAATTATGTATTTATTTATTTAATTCCACTTGTTATTATTATTTTTAATTTGACCAGAGAGAGAGAAAAGAAAAGTGAGAAAGCAAGCCGCCAGGTTTGGGACTCGAACCACAGTTGGCCACATGGGCACCTTTAACCAACCACCACACCACCTGCCGGCCCCTAGATGCAAAACTGTTGAACTATCCTTGCCTTTTTGGATCAAACACAACTTAATTTAATACACTGCTGTATTGAGTCTGCCACTTCTTTATTTAGGAACTTTCACTGAAGCTTTCTTTCTTTTGTGCTATTATCTTTTTTTCACTAGGCTTATGCTGCATTATCTTAAATAATAGAAAAATTTTACTTTTGTAATCTTAGAAACTTTTTTTTTCTTTATTTAGATTTTTACCATATGGCTTATGCACTCACTGGAAAAAGAGAGTGAGACATCATCTCTTGGGGGAATGGCCACAGCACAATCCTTCTCCATTCTTCTCTTGGGATTTTGGACACACACACACACACACACACACACACACACACACACTCATACACACACAGCATGTTTTCAAGCCAATGAGTCCAGAACCCAAACTGCAGAGTTGGCTATCTGGGATCGAGTGCCTTAACAATCACGCCACTTGCTGGCCCAATCTCATGAACGATTTAAATAATAGAAATGATCCAGTTAGTAACCGTGTGATGAAATTTCCCCTTAACATTTTTTGGTCCTACTACTCTTTGAAGGATAAAGTTTCTGTTATGTTTTCAATTTATGTTAAGTTATCCAAACTTTCTACATTTTGCTGAATTATTTGGATGGTTATATTTTTCTAGAAAATTACTTATGATTGGGACTAGCAGTTGGCATAATGGCTATGTTGCTGGACTCCCATGTAGTCGACCGTGGTTCGAGTCCCGGACCTGGTGGCTTAAACTCATGCTGGGCATGTGTGCGAGCATGCCCAAGATCCTGAGAGGAGAATGGAGGAGAAGGGATTGTAGCCTGGCCATCCCCCCAGGGGCTGATTTCTTGCCTTCTGTCTGTCTCTCTCTGTCTTTCCAGCGAGTGCCTGTGCCGTATAGCAAAAACCTCTCTAAGAGGAAAAAAAAAGAATGAAAGAAAGAAAATTACTTATGTTTTTTTAGATTCTCCTGTGTATCTGTGATTATACCATCCTATTAATTCCTAATATTTTTTAAAGAAGGCACAAATGACATAGTATTAGCAATATGGCCTCTGAAGGTACCTCCCTAACTTAGCGTTCCAGCTGAGTATTCACTGTCTGTTTTTGTCACATCTGTATACTAGGGATTATATCACTCATTTATCAAAAATTTTTTGAGGACCTACTTTGTGTCTGACACGGTTCTAGGTATTAGGAATACAATAGTGAACAAAACATAAAAATGTATGCCTTGGCAGAGCCTAACGTTTTAGTAGTGTGAACATTAAAAAAAATCATAGCTATCTGTCTATATCTGGCATGTTAGAAGTTCTAAAAACAAACAAAAAATGAAACATGGAAAAGCATATGGAATATTCAGAATGATGATAGTACCTTTCTGATTCGGTTGTGCATGATAATTAAATGAAGAAATATATATCACATGCTTAGCACACTGGCACTTAGTGCTCCATTTTAACTCTTGTAGTAATACTAATATTTTTTCCTTAATCAAATTTGTTAGTGATTAGAATAGTTTATTGGGTTTTTCAAGAACCAACTTAAGTCAAATGTTTTTTGGTTTGCTTTTTTTATTAATCTCTGCTTTTATCTTTCTGAATTCCTTTTTTTTCCTTTTTTTTTTTAACTCCCTAAGTTGAATGCTTATTTATTTTCAGTCTTCTCATTTTATGATAAATACATATAGGGCTATATATTTTCCTTTGAGTACTTCTTTGTTTCTTTCGCCATATTTTTCTAATTGTGATTCATCTCTCAATACACTGTAATTTTAGTTTTAGTCTTATTTAATCCAATAGTTGTATAGAAGTACTTTTAGAGTATTTCTAGATGGTTAAGATGTATTTGAAACTCATGTGTATGAATGTGTGATAGTTCTGTAGCCTTTCGGTTTCATCATTGTAGTAGGTGATTGTGTCTTAACGTTTTCAACCTTTAGGAACTTTCTTTGAAATTGAAACCATGGTCACTTTTCGTAATATTACAATGAATATTTTAAAAGTATGTATATCTGGTTTGTCAAGCATAAACATTTCTCTGTGTGTGTGCTTATTAAATCAAATATAATACCTTTGCAATTCAAATTTTCCACATTGGTTATTTATTTTTGTTTTCTGCTTCTGTTGATTTTAAGAGAGAATTATTAAAGTCATCCACGAAGATAAGGCTTTGAAAATTCTTTTTGTACTTTTAGTAGATTAAAAAAAAAAACACCCTGCTTCCTAGAAATGTAATTTACCTGCAATAAAATGCACAAATTTTAAGTGTAAAGTTAGATGAGTTTTGAAAATGCATCCATTTATGTAATCACCGCCCTAATGAAGAGACAGACATTTCCATAATCCCAGGAAGTTCCTTTGCGACCCTTTCAGTCAGTCCTCCATTCAAAGCCCAGTAACCGATAATGATTTCTATTACGGTTGCTCTGTTTCGGTTGTCTAGAAATTTCTGTAAATTGAATCATACAGTATATACTCTATTGTGTCTGTCTTCTTCTGTTCCACATGGTGATTTTGACTCTTATCCATGTCGTTGTATCAGTAGTTTATTCATTTTTTATTGCCAAGGAGTATGCCTAGTTTATTGCTTTTTTTGCCTTGATGCATAAAGTTTTTAAATTGCTAGAAAAAAGGCTACTTTAGATTCTGTTCATATCCCCCTGTTGGCAAAAGACATCTGGTCTGTAGTTACATGGGAAAAATATATCCAAGCACCCTGAGTTTTATGCCTGCTTATTAGTTGTCTACACTGATAACAAGTAAGAGAACAAGAGAGAAGACAGATGGTGTGTGGAGCTTTGCTGACTTCCTCAGTGGCTCCTTGGCACAGTTTTTCTGGCCTCTGCCTCCTTCTGAGAGCTGGTATGACAGCGTAAATAGAAATACCCCTGACAATTACAATGGCTCTGGAAGAGTGAAGACCAGGAATCCCTGGCCCTCGCTGTGTAAGGTACTGATAGGAAGATCCTTCATTGACTCTAATCACGGAATTTGCCCTTGTCATCAGTGCACAGCCCCAGAGCAACTTGAACTTCGTGATGTAATAGTTAAAGATTTTAAGTACAGTTAAAGAATGTAAGTAGTCGCTTAAAGGAATATATTATTTAGTTAATTCTCAATGAATTCTCAATGATTTGGAGACAAAGTATTTAGTTCATTATTGGTAGTGTAGCCTTTGCTCATTTTTTGTTTACCTTAACTATTTTTGTTGTTTTATTTCTTTAACAATAAGCAGAGGAGAAAAAGCAGAATTGAAATTCCATCTGCTTTTAGTACTTAATAGAAAGGGTGTGTGTGTGAGAGTGTATATGTGGCAGATGGGGAAAATGGAAACTTTCCTAAAATAAAAACATATCTTCTATGTGGCAGGCACTCTAGCTGTGTAACCTTCAGCGAGTCACTTAATATATCTGAAACTAGTTCGTTTCTTCATTGACAAAGGGAAGTAAATGCCCGCATACCCATTCACTGACTTCTGAACCTAATTCATACAAATAGCACTTTATGTAAAAGTGCTTTCTTATTTTGAAAGTTCTATTGAAACATATACACAAATTTAATTTTTATGTTTATAACTATTTTCTTTTTCTTTAAAGAGAGATATCTGATTTCTAGCCATAGAGGTACAACAGACATGTTTCTATGATAAAATATATAGCTTGTTAAAAAGCCAGCCATTACAAAAAATCTAATTATTAAAAAATGTGCTACGGGGCCAGCCTGCACCCTGGTGGTTAAGACAACTGGATCCCAAGTGGCTGACTGGATAGTTCAAGTCCTGGTCTGGGCAGCTGAAAAACACACCAGGCACGTGTGCATGCCTAAAATCCCCAAAGGAGGGAGAAATGGAGGAGATGGGCTTGTGATGTGAATGGATTATGCATCCAGGAGTTTTCTCGCTTTCCTTCTCTCTCTCTCTTTTTCTCTCACCCCCTCTCTCATACATGCCCTCTGGCAAATTAAAAAGAAAGAAAGAAAGAAAGAAAAAAAGGTGCTATTTGAGAAGGTTGTTTAAAGGAACTCTTGTAAAAGCAAGGGGCACACGAGCATCATGATTATCTGGATCCAGGCAATTAACCTGTGACTAGCTTTTTTTTTTTTTAATTCCTTTTTTTTTTTTTTTGAGAGATTTTTTTTGCTATAGGGTGCGTGCGCTCGCCAGACAGACAGAGAGAGAGAGAGAGACAGAAGGTGAGAAATCACCCCCCAGCTGGGATGGTCACACCGCAATCCCTTCTTCTCCATTCTCCTCTCGGGATCTTGGGCACGCACGCACACGCACCCGGCGTGAGTTTTAAGCCACCAGGTTCGGGATGCGAACCGTGGTCGACTACGTGGGAGTCCAGTGACATAGCCATTACGCTAACTGCTGGTTCCCGCTGTGACTAGCTTTTGATCTAGGAGTTCTCTCTTTATCTTGATTTTCTGATTAAGAAAATGTGGAAAATAATTCCTATTCTGTCATAGGAGTGCTATGATATTATTATTATTCTTTACTAAAGATTTTTTTTATAACCATTTACCTTAGATTTTATCCAGACCCAGAGTTCCACAGTATTGAACTTGCTTTAAATTGCATTCACTTAAGGCATGTATTCAATTCTATTTGGGGAAAGGACTGTGATGTTGTCTTCTTTACATGATCTTTGCAAAGTCATTTCTGAACAATTTCAAAGGAGTAAGAACGGTACGTTTAGGTGTCCAGCTTACGCCGGCGTTCCATTAGAGACTAAATGACAGGAGTGAGGCTGCGGTGGCATCAGTCATTAGGGGCAGCACATTATCTGCTTAACATCTGCTATTCTTTTTTATTTTTTTCCCTATGGGGGAATAAATCACAACGCATCAGCACATTGTCCATGCTTTGTGTTTAAGCATTTAAAAGTCATTTACTGTATTATTAATATCACTTTATTTCTGTTTCTTTGGCAGCTCCTGAAGTTATCAACGCCCATGAGTACAGCCAGCAGTGTGACATTTGGAGCATAGGTGTCATAATGTACACCCTGTAAGTAGCCTGCCAAATGTGCCGTTTCAAATGAGTGAATGGTCCCTAATAGTAGAACGACACAGATTTTGAACTAAAACTAAACAATATATATATTTTTAAGTGACTTAAAAACCACTTGGGAAGTCATTCTGTAGTCTTATTAGTTGACAGGTGCATCACTTAGGTATTTTTCTATTACTGTAAATTAATAACTCACAGCTTTGGTTTTCATTGATCTTTAAGCGAAACAACATGCCATGTGATCTGAGCAAAGTGGAAAACTCTTCTTAACACCTTCCTGATCCTGTGCTATAAACTAACAGCTTCTTTGTATTTCCTTACAAGATTACAGGGAGGTACTAAGCTTCACATAGAAAGAGCATGTGTGGGAGTTGGTACTAACTAAATAGAAGGTCACTGAGGACCTAGAGAATATTCTGTAGCTCCCAGTTCTTTTTTTTTTTTAATTCATTTATTTATTCCATAAGAGAGATAGACACAGGGACAGGCACCCCATAAGGATCTTCATGTTCTGGCCTACCCCAGCCCCAGGTAACCAGGACCATGCGCATGTCCATGGTCTGCCTGGCATGTCCAGGGAGTCTTTGTGATGTGAACTTGGGATCTTGCCATGTGACTTCAGTAACACGGAGCCACAGAGCATTGCGTTCCTGCTGCACCAACTCACTGCCTTCAGTTCCCTTAACGCTGCTGAAAACTTGTCTTTCTTGCTCTTTTCTCTCACTCTCAAGGTTTAATAAAATCCTGTGTCCTGTTAAATTTTCCCTGTAGCATCCTTGTCTATTCTTTGATCTATCTTCACCTGTGTCATTTCTCCTTTCCTAGAATATTACAAAGTCTTCCTGGGTGTTCCCCTGCCGCTGGTCCCCTTCCTCAGTACATCTTTCAGAGTGCTGTCACGGTTCCCTTTCCAAGCCACAAATCTGATCATACTACTTTTCTGATTAAACACCTCTGATAATTATTCCTTGCTACAGAAAGATTTCAGAGCATCCTAGCATGGTGTGGCAGAGTAAGCCTTGACTCCAGCACACTTTTTCATTGGGCTGGATGTTTGTTCCCATATACCTCCTGCTGCAGCGACTCTAGGCCACTGTTCCTTACTCAGACACGTTGCATTGCATGTGCCTTTTATTCTGTACAATCCTCTCACCTGGGTGGGCCCACTCAAACATTAAAGCCTTCTGTTTCCGCAGCACCTACCTGGCCCCACAGAGTTACTACATTTATGATGCACATACTTTCCCACACTCCACAGAAGACTTTAAGCAGCGTACGAAAGTACATGCAAAATAGTCATGTTTAAGGAAAGTGTATTAAATTAGGACTATTTGATCAGGAAAGTTTGCACATGTGTAACTTTGATAGTCTTAATTGTTCACTTTCATGTGTTCTCCTAATACTTTATGAAAAGATATTATAAGGCTATACCCATAGCCTAGTGGTTAAGGGAGCTTGATCCCACATGACCAACTACAATTTAATTCCTGGCCCCAGTGGCTTGAAACACACCAGGCACATGTGCTTGTGTGGATGGTGGAGAAATAGAGATGAAGGGATTGTTGTGTGGTCACACCCCTTTGCTTTCTCCCTTTATTTGTCTGTCAGTCTGTCTGTCTCTGGGAAGCACATGCACCGTCTATTTAAAAAATCAGTTAAAAAATAGATTATATTGGCCCATGGCCTAGTAGTTAAAGGAACCAAATCTTACATGATCAACCATGCTTCAAATCCTGGCCCCAGTGACTTGAGAAACAGGCCAAGCACATTCCTGTGCCCAAAATTCCAGCAGGATGGAGAAATGAAAAAGAAGGGATTGTGGTGTGATTATTTCCCATTGGGGCTGCTTTCTCCTCCCTCCTCCTCTCTCTCTATCTATCTCTCTATCTCTCGGGAGTACAAGTGTCCTCTGGCAATTTTTTTTTTTTTGGAGAGGTTTTTGCTATAGGGCACATGCACATGCCAGAAAGATAGAGACAGAGAGACAGAAAGTGAGAATCACCCCCAGGGGGGATGACCATGCCACAATCCCTTCTCCTCTGTTCTCCTCTCGGGATCTTGGGCACGCATGCACATGCGCCCAACGTGCGTTTCAGCCACCAGGTCCGGGACTTGAACCATGGTGGACTACATGGGAGTCCAGTGACATAGCCATTACGCTAACTGCTGGTCCCCCCTCTGGGAATTTTTAAAAAGATAGATTATAATATTATGTATATTTATCTGTTTTCCTTGTTCTGAATTCCACGTAAGACGAAGATCTTAGTTATTCATCTTTATCTCCTGGTAGTCTGGTAAAATAGTAGGCACATATTCAGTGCTCAGTAAGTTTGTTAAATTGAATTAAAGTGAATTGTCTAAGAGGTGTTCTGAAAATTTAGGAACCATTGTCCTGCCTCTTGGTGAATATGAACACTTTTATGTTGATGCAACATTAGTTTTATGTTCTATTGAAGATTTCACTATGCACTCACTACCTCTTCCAGATTGCTTCTGAGTATTATATCTCAGCAGTCGCACTGTCACAGTTCTGTGAAATGAAATACACAGGCAGTAGAAATAGGATGATGTGACTGTAGCTGTAACTCAGCTGGTCAACACGCATCATCACTTAGACTGCATAAGGTATAAGTGTATTCACTAAGTTTGTGGTTATTGTTTTGTGCTGATTAGAATCAAAGTACAAAAATCCTCAACCTTAGTCTCTAATTAAAATATGGTTGTTTTAAATTAGTCTTTTCCTCTCTCAATACTTTCTAGACAACGTAAGCAAAATATAATATGTATAATCTAATATTACACAGTTTACATGGTGTTTCTGCCTTCTTAGTCTGAATTTGAAGAAAGTGAGTGTGTTACATGTCTTATAAATCTTCCTTTTTTAATGATATCATTTTAATTTTTCTGCTTCAGAGCTTGGCATCATAGCATCATAATAACATCTTTTCTTTACAGTGTACTCTTACTAATAAGTACCTATTCATTAATCTGTCAGAGCCTAGTGGTGTTATAGATAATTTTCCTCACCAAAAGCACAAACATATTACCTTCTCCAAGGGGATTATTTTTTCTTTATCAGTTACCTCTGATTCATTTCTGCCTAATTGGACAATGATAACTTACTTTCTCAAAGCAAAATTAACATAAATATTCCTTATGGTGACTATCTTCTGCTGTTTTGATTCTATGAATGTAACAGAAAATAAGAAAGCTTTAAGAGGCATTTCTCATGTCTTGGATTCTCTTTTCTGGATGTGCTGAAAATTGCTGTCATAAAATTTCATATGCTGTTGATTGACCAACCATTAGATACATTTTTGCGTAAGTAAAATTGCAAAGAATAGAAAAAAGTAGAATTTTAAAAATGTAGCCCTTAAGCTATAGTTGCATGCAAAGCGGGCAGTGCTGGGGCGCCTAAGAAACTGGCAGATGTGCATATCACGAGTTGATAGCAGGCGCAATGAGCTGGGATTTAGCTGGTCTGTCCTTGTTATAACAGATAGTGATTGTCTGTAAGGCCATTTTTCTGGCTTTTTTGTTTTCTATGGCTTTTTTTTTTATTGCCTTTGTAAACTAAACAGTTGCAAGACAAGTAAGATGAGAAATGAGAAAGAGGAGGATAAGAATGAGCTGGAAAAATAAAAAGTGTTAAAATAAGAGTTTGTAAAACGATTTGGTCAAAACTGATCTCTTAACAAGAACCTATTGGTAAGTGAAAAGCTTTTTAAGCTCCTATTGTCCAGCCTAGTTTGATAAACTACTAGGATGAAAGCATCTTTCTCCCTGAAAAAGTTTGTCATCATCATCATCACTGAAAAGTATGCATCAAATCCTGACTTATTCAGAAAATGTTTGAGTCAAATTTTTAGATAACTCAAAGAAAAATATAACTAAAGAAAATCAGTAAAGGGCCAGCCAGTGATGTGGTAGTGAAGGCGACTGGGTTCCACATGTCTGACTTTGCTGTTTGAGTCTCATACCTGGCTGCTTGAAAAACACACTGGGTACGTGTGCATGTGTGCCCAAAAATCCCAAGAGGAGAAGGGCTTGGAGCATGGCCATTCCCCCTGGGAGGTGATTTCTCAGTTTCCCTCTCACCCATTCCCTCTCTGTCTACATCTGGCTAGTGCACATGGTCTGTTGCAAAACTAAAACAACCAACCAACCAAGAAAAAAAAATAAAGAAAGAAAATTAATAAAAATGTGACTTGGGCTTAGAGATTATTATAATTATATGTAGAATAGACCGCAATTTGGGAAATATAGTAGTCATACTACTTTAGTCTTTCAAGAATAAAATGCAAAAATATAATCCTGAGATTGAAGAATAGACGTATGTATAGTGTTTCCTCTGTGATGAGTCTAGCTCCAACCTCTGTCTGGCTGTTGCTGAGTAAATATGGCTTGTCTATAGGATTGCCCTCAGATGTGAGTGTTGGCAATGACGATTTGTTAACCAAATACTAACATTTGTCATGGTACTGAACTGGACTCAACTTTAATTCATGTTCTCATATGTTTAGCCTAGATCACCTATTGAATCAAGCTTCGTAGGCTTGCCATGTTCTCTTAAGAGTTCCTAGACACAGTTTCTTATCACAGAATATGAAAACAAGCCCACATTTACTTTAAACATGCTGGTTTTACTGATGTTAGCCATTATATTACACTCAGCTTTTGTGCTTTCAGACCAAAGGGCCACATCATCATCTGACTTTCCTTATCTAGACCTTCTTCGTTTCGTCAACTATTTTTCAAGAGTGCTAGCCATCTTAATATATATATTAGGCTTTGACTCAGACCTGTAGAAATTCCCAGGGTTACTCTTGGTTTATTTTTATTATTACTAGTATTTGGCCATGGAAAAGATTCTCACATGGTAATTAGACTCTAATAACTCTCACTAGTCTCTGATAACTCATTGTGTTTTCCCATAGTCCAGTTTGCATTGTGTACCATAATACATTACTTAACCCTACCCTAAAGTGTATCTCCTCTGTTGGCTGCTGCTATTGTTGTGCATCTAAGTTCAGATACCTTCTGGTATAAATACATATATACCTTTTAACTCCATTTAAGTGAATGTTTCCCCACCTGAACGAGCTTCGGGTCATTTGCATGTACAGAGGCTTCAGTGTATACATGCACACTTCTTCTCCCAGGCCACTTCTCTCAATGTTGGGCCAAGAACCTGACACTAATCTGAGGAAACTCCATTACTTCCATTTCTACACCTAGAGAGGTACCAATCTGTTTTAATCTGTTCTTTTTTGTTTAATTACTGAATACCACAGATTGGGAAAATCAATCAAGAATAGCAGTGTACTTATTATACAGTTTTAGTAGTTCAAGGTCAAGGGACCACATGTAATGAGGGTCTTCTTGTTTCTGGAGACTCTGCAGAGTTCCAAGGCGCAGTGCAGGGCATCACATGGCCAAAGGGCAAGACCTGTGTCTGTTGTCTCTCACTCGCTCTCCTTGTAAACCCACCACAATTCAGTCATGGGAATCTACCTGACGGCTTTGTCTAATCCTAACCACCTCCCAGAGATTCCGCCTTTCAACCCTATAGTCAAATTAAGTTTCTACTCTCTAAATACTTTCACAATCCAGCCAAATTTCAACACATGAATTTTGGGGAGATATATTCAAACCATGTGTTCCTCTTTTTTTTGGCTTAAATATGAGGCATCATTACTTATAACTCCTGGGGATACTCGATTTAAAAAAATAATAATTATTTTATGGTTAACCATAGGGTGTGTGCACTCACAGGGCTGGGGTGTTAGTGAGAAATCAACCCCTAGTGGAGATGGCCATGCCACAATCCCATCTTCTCCATTCTCCTCTCAGGACTTTGGGCGCACATGCACACCTGCCCAATGTGTTTCTCAAGCTGCCAGGTCTGGGACTTGAGCCACTCCGGGGTCATGTGTAATCTAGCTGCCCTGACCACCACACCACTCATTGGCTCAGGGAAACTTAATTTTTTATAGTCTTATATTGACTTTTAAAATGTTAAACAAAATGGTTGCCTTCATTGTAGATTATGTGGAGAACCACCCTTTTTGGCAAACTCAGAAGAGAAGCTTTTTGAATTAATAAGAAAGGGAGAACTACATTTTGAAGATCCAGTCTGGAATTCCATAAGTGATTGTGGTAAATATAGAGTCATTATTATTTGCTAAAACAAATATAAGTGATAATAAGGAAGTTGGTCAGTAATTCAGATGTCTAGAATCTCTGTTTAAGTCATTACATTTACTTGTGGGAATAAACATTTGTGGATTGTTTATAGTCAAAACTGCCACAAAAAAAAAGGAAAATATGTAAGAAAAATTAAAGATGCTTGCTGATCATCTATCTAGCTAACTCTTACTGTAGACCATAAACTAGGTAATCTAGGCAATAAAACTTTTCTCCTTGGGCTTTAAACTTAATTTATTAGACATTTATAGTGAAACTATTTATTGTGTGCCTAGCATCTTTCCTTCATGGTATACATGCCTAACCCTAAATAAATTGGAAAATGTATGATATTAATTATAGTTAAGATAAGTGAGATTTTCAGAATTTTCTCTTACTTGCAGCTAAAAGTGTTTTGAAACAACTTTTGAAAGTAGATCCTGCTCACAGAATCACAGCTAAGGAACTACTAGATAACCAGTGGTTAACAGTAAGTTACAGTACTACTTTTTCTTTCTTTCTTTCTGAAATGCTACTTTGCTCTCATAGTTTTGTATATAGTCTCAAAAGAGCCAATTAGTTTCATCTTCTGTCAAGTTAAAAAAAGGTGCTGCGTCTTGACACATTTCTGACATGTCTTTTTCAAATGGTTACAACTGTTACCATAGTTGTTTATATAACTTTATTGAGTTTCAAATGGCCTTTGCTTTGCTTAGTGTCATGAGGGTATCAAGTCCAGTAGAACAGAGCTGAGAAATGTCCAGTATTGTTAAGGCTGTGGAATATTTTAACAGTCTACTTAGCTCGGTGAAGTAAAGCTTCAGAACCACTTGTTTCTCTTTCATCCATTTGGATGTAGGGAATCTTTGGGGACTCAGAAAAGCAAAAGGCTCTGTTTTAGTCTATTTTCTGTTACTAATAACAGAAATACCGGAATCTGATTTTAGAGGTCAAAGTACCACATCGAGTAAAGGCCTTCTTGCTAGGGGAGGCTCTGTAGACTTCTGAGGCAGCACAGGCACCACATGGTGTGAGAGAAGAGCTTGTGTGCGTTTGTCTCTCTTCTCTCGTATCACTCCTTGTCCCTGTACACCCATCAGGGTTCAGTCCTGGGCCACCACCTTGATGACCATATCTAATCCTAACTATCTTCCAAAGGATCTACCAATTAATTTCATAATTAGATGTTTCAACCCTCTTAATACAATCTAATAGCCATAAATTTTCTTTTTTAAATTATAATTTCCAGTTACATACAATCAATATTCATCTTTGTGGGGTGTGATAAGATTTTTTCAAAGCATGTATACAATATGTTCTATTCAAATAAAAATATACTTATGTATATTGTTCAAGATTGAACATTACATGATGTGATAACCATTTGATAATAGAACTTGTGTTTTTTTCGAAATACATTTTGATTTGTCCATATTTTTTACTCTGCAATGGTACACCATTTCAGTCTCTTCCCCTTATTTCCATACATTCTTACAGCTGTTAAAATTTTTTTCCCTTGATTTCCTCATTTAATTTCTGTTATCTACCATTACTCTATTTCTATACTTTTGAGACCTTCAGTTTCTACCAAAGAGTGTGTACACTTGGTATATATTAAGTGGGATATATGGTATTTGTCTTTCGTAGGCTGGCTTATTTTGCCTATAGTTTTATCTTCCTGATTCAACCACTTTGTGTCAAATGACAGCATTCTGTTGTTCTTCATGGCCAAACAGTATTCCATTGTATATACGTGCCACGTTTTTGTAATCATTCATCAGTGATTGGACATTTAGGTTGATTTCATGACTTAGCTATTATACATAATGCTGCAATAAACCAAATGTACAAATGTCTCTTCAACTGAGCAATTTACCATTTTTTGTTGTATACCCAATAGTGGGTTGTACAGAGGTTCCATACCATATTCCACAATCGCCATACTAATTCACATTCCCACCAGCAGCACGCAAGTGTCCACTTTTCTCTGTGACATCATCAGCACTTGTTTTTCTTTTTTTAAACCATAGCCATTCTTACTGGGGTAAACGATACCTTTTTGTGGTTTTTATTTGTATTTCCCTTATGATAAGGAATCAATAAGGGAAATCCCTTTTTTTATATGCTTTTTAGTCATATGTATGTCTTTCTTTGAGAGCTGTCTGTTTAAATCCATTGCCAACCGTTATTTTTTTTTAATTGGAGTATTAATTTTTTTGTGGATAAGCTGTTTTAATTCCTTATATATACTGGTCGTCAGTCTCTTATCTGAAGTACAGTTTGGACATTTTTTTTTCACATTCTGTGGGTTAACTTTGTTGTCTTTATCTGTTGTTCCGTATGCTGTACAGAAGCTTTTAATCTTTTTTTTTTTTGAGAGTTTTTTATTGTTTTTGCTATAGGTCGCATGCACTCGCCAGACAGACAGAGAGAGAGAGAGAGACAGAAAACGAGCAATCAGCCCCCAGGGAGGGTGGCCATGCCACAATCCCTTTTCCTCCATTCTCCTCTTGGGATCTTGGGCACGCATGCACACACACCCGGTGTGAGTTTTAAGCCACCAGGTCTGGGACGTGAACCATGGTTGACTACATGGGAGTCCAGCGACATAACCATTATGCCAACTGCTGGTCCCAGAAGATTTTAGTCTTGATTTAATCCCACCTATCTATTTTTGGTGCAACCAGTTTTCAACATATGAATTTGGGGGATACAAATTCAAACTGTTACAGTTTCTAGACAGAAACCTAGTATGAAATCTTAAGTAACTATTTACTTGCTTTCTGCAATTAGATTAAATGCCTCAAGCATAGCTGATCTTTGTATCCCTGTGCCCAGAACGTTACCTGGTCACAATAGAAACTTTGGAAGAGGTTGCTATTTATCTATTTTTTTTCTTTTTTTATGGTAATAAGGATCCTAATTTTTAGCTGGAAGCATTGCTAACCAGTTAAAAGACTTTATTCCTGAGTCCTTTTTGCTAATTATTGTGATAGACAATAAAGTGGACATGGATGTAATTTCTGGAAAAACATTTTTAAATGGAGATGATATGACATTCTTCATGACTTTTCTCTTTCCTAGTGAATGAAATACAGATGTGATGGCTAGAGTTTAGCAGTCCTCTTAGACCGTAAGATGAAATTAAACCATTAAGTGGGAGTTCATAAACTGGGTATGACAGAGCAACAGATACAAGAAACTAGGGCTCACAGCTCTCAGTACTGTCTTGCCAACCCTTGACTACTTGCCCACAGACGTTCTTATATAACCATGAAACAAACTTCCGTTATCTTTAAGACACCGTAAAACATGCAGCTAAACCTAATCCCAATTAATACGGTACTCAATAAACAATTGCTAAATGAATGAATGATTCAGTAAATGAACAGGTCTGCAGATAATCTCAGAAAATGTCTGGGAACTGAGGTTGGAGATTAGTAGAGACACATGGGAATATTACTAAGCCATATTCAATTGTGAAAAAAACTTTAGATCTGTTATTTACTAGACACTGTTAGGTGCCGGTAATACATGATATAATTACATTTGAAATGTTAATTGGCATATGATTATATTCTTAAAAGGTTACTAGCCATTGGGTGAAAAATGACTTGGAAATAGGGAATTAGATATCAAAATAATATCGTTGAGACATGAGAGTGGCTTGAATGGAGTGGTAGCAACTGAGATGAAGAAAAACACATAAATGTTTTCGCAAGGTATAATTGACAGGATTTGGTGAGGGTTTAGGTGAGGAATGAGTATAAGGGAGGAATCAAGGATGACATCTAGATTTTTCTCTCACAACTGGTTGGACAAGAGTATGATATATGAAAAACTATAAGAGAAATAGATTTTTACTCCTTGGTAAGTAATAGTGACTCAAGAGTCCTATATTAGATATGATCATTTTAAATTCCTATATTGCAACCAAGTGGAGATAGCAAATAAATAATTGAAAATAAGTCTACGACTAGAGAAGTCTGAGCAGAAGATATATAATTTTTGAGTATCATGACCATCTTTTTTTTTTTTTGGAGAGATTTTCGCTATAGGGCGCATGCACTTGCCAGGCAGACAGAGAGAGACAGAAAGACAGAAAGCGAGAAATCACCCCCCAGGGGGGATGGTCAGGCTACAATCCCTTCTCCTCCATTCTCCTCTCGGGATCTTAGGCACGCATACACACGCGCCCGGCGTGAGTTTTAAGCCACTGGATCCGGGATGCAAACCGCGGTGGACTACGTGGGAGTCCAGCGACACAGCCATTACGCTAACTGCTGGTTCCCAAGTATCATGACCGTCTAGATGTCATGTAAAGCCACTGGACTAAAACAGTAAACTGGGGAGGAAATATAGAGAAGCATGGTGCCGTCAACATACCTTTAGATACTGCATTAAGAAGAGACTCGTGTCAGTTTAGGTACCCTCAATATGCATACAGTTTTATAACTCTCCTTTTAAGTTCTCTAATTTTCCTTTAAAACAATTTCTAATAATTTCTTAGACTTTTTTTTAAGGAATTAAAAAAAGACATTTTATTTTTTCTTTAAGGAATGAAAAAATAGTCTTTATTCAAGAATGGATTATATCTGCCCTCTCACAAAGGATTCTGTACAATAATTATTTCTGGCCTAACATAATTGTGCAAATGAGTTAGCAGCTAGATCATTGCAAAACTGTACTGAGTAGAATTGTAGCTCAACAAAATAAAAAACTGTCAAACAGATGGTGTGCCTTAGAAAGTCATCTCTTTTCAGCATCACACGACAGTCGGGTTCGGCCATTTAATTATTTGCTTTCTAATTAGTACAACTTTATTTCTAGCTTTGGTCATTTTTCCAGAAGTCTCCATTTTTGAGCCTCTGTAACATTTGTTTCTAGGAAGTCCTTGCCAAGTGGATAGAGAAGTGGCAGATATTGTGTGCTATACCAGACTATCCTAAGGAGTTCAGTGTATGAAATTTAGAATACTGGCATTTTACAAACTTCTGAAAGGCAAGAACTCTTTTCTTCTTAACCACTTGAAGTCTTACTTCCCATAATTTCTGTCCTCTGTTTGAAACAACCTAAAGGAGACATGATTCTCTCAGCACCTTACTGCTTTATAATCAGCTCCTATCTTTTGCGGTATCTAACACGGTAACATTTTTTTTCAAAGAGATTTATTGGATAAAAAGCTCCATGGTTTAGCCTATATACTATGCATTTTGAAGCATGATATGTAACCGAAAGTATTCTGAGAAAAATAATTATTATTTCTTAATGTACATTTAACTGATAGAGTTTCAGATAAACACATATCGTTATCCTGATTTCAAAAGGCAAAGGTTAGAAGTCAGGGAAAACAGCTAAGGAAGGACTTTTCCTCGGAAGGAAGCATGTGATGAGGATCATCCTATGGCCAGGAAATGCCAATTATTCTACCTATTTCTTCTTCCTCCTCCCCCCCTTTACTGTCAACCATGGCTCAGGAGATAATTGCTT